GGGGGGGGACACACACGACACGCACCGGGACCCCGGGACGCACACGCCGCTCCACGCGCGCCCTGGGACGCCCCGCCCCGCCCCCTGCCCGCTCCCTCGGCTTCCCATTGGCCAGACCCCTCCGAGCGCGGAGCCAATCGGGTAGCGGCGTCGGAGAGGGCGGAGCCTAGAGGGCGAGACCCCGCCCCCAGCCCGCCTGAGGGAGCGGCCTCGGCGGGGACGCGGTGAGTGAGGCCTAAAGGCGGGGGGGGGTAGATGGGGGCTCTTCCTCCCCCTCCGTGAGGCACGGGATGGCCTTTAGGACCTTCCTGGTCCTCCGTGGGGCTTGCGGGAGGCTTTTGGGGCCTTCCCGACCCTCTGTGGGACTTGGGGAGGCCCTTTCCGGCCTTCTATGAGCCTTGATGGGGGGGGGGTCTGGAGCCTTCCGGCCCCTCCCTGCGCTTTGATGGCGGCTTCTGGGCCTGGGGGAGTCCGTTGTGTGCTCGGGGGAAGGAGGAGGGCACGCAGGGTTCGGGGAAGGCCTTCCCTGTCCCCTGCCGGCGTTGAGGAGGATGTCGGTGGGGCCGAGAAAATGTCTGTAGGGTCCCAGTGGGTTCCATTGTTCCGTCCGGGCTTCGGAGGGGCCTGTGGCGCCGGGGGGGGGGGACGGACGGACTTCCATCCCCGTTGTTTGAGGAGGGGGGTATGGGGCCTTCTTTGTGTGCACTGAGGGAGGCCGTCTCCCCCCCGTCTATGGGGCTGGGGATGCCCCCCCATGGCTGGTGTTTACTGGAAGAAGGGGCTTCCTCCACCCTGTGCATGTTTGGCAGGGGGTGGGACTGTTATCCCTTGAATTAGTGCTGCATCTTTGACACATTACCCCTTTCCTCTGTGCTGTGTGGGAGGCCCCGGGGCCTGCTCTGTGCCCAGCACCCTTTGGTGAGGCCTGTGTTTGTGACCACCACCCCCATAGCTGTGTATATCCTCCTCTCAGGGTGCTGGTTGGTCACACTGCCCTCCTACACATGTTCTGGGGTTGTAGGCTGGTGTGCTATTACTCTTAAGCATGTTTTTAGCCTATCTTCCCTTTCCACCCTCTGGCCCCACTGTGCTTTGAAAGGGAGCAGGGGTTTCTAAGGGGTTTTCCACTAAGTGGGTGCAGTAGGTGAGACCTCAGCCTGCCTCTGCTTGTAGGCACCTTTCCATGTCCTGACTTTCCCTGTCTCTCATCCTGCCTTCTCAGTGACCTTAGGCTTTTCAGGGAATGGGTAATAGTAAACAATCTTGGGCAGAAACCTGGAGGCTGAGAACGCACCTCTGTAGGGAGAGAGTGTTTTAAATTACTTTGCCAGGGTTGCCACAAACACAAATCCTATTGCAGCAGTAGGTTTATGGCTTTAAGTCAGAAAATTCACCTGTGCTCTCTGTGCCTGCCTTATCCTCACCACGGAGTTGCTGGCATTAGCAGCGCAATCGCGAACTGTTAATCAGAAGGAGATTGTGTGTCAGGAATCAGCAGAAAGGCTCAGCCCTCCCTTTTGAGGTGTGTCCCAGTCCAGGCTGCACTGCTGACAGTCACCTGGGCTTAAGGGTTATAAATACATCTGCCCTCAGTTTGTAGAAGCATTTTCAGTGATGTAAGCACCGAGACAGTGAGTTATTGGGCTCGAAAACTGTGGGTTAATCTGTAGGCAAAGCTGCTTGGAGGAGTTGTTAGTTGTTACTCTTCAGACTGGACTTACATGTGCCCTTGTTAGAGTGGAGCAATTTTTTGCAGAGATGACTCTCTGCAAAAGAGAGTCACTAAGAGAGTCACTTTTTCACTAAAAGAGATAGACTGATACTGTTTACAACCTCTATGTGACTAAAAAAATGCTCTTTTGCAAAGCAGCCTGTACAATGATTGCTTATACTGGCACAACTGTCTTTATTTTCTATAATAACATCCACTTTAAGGGGGTCTTACAAGGTCTAATCTATCATTGAAATGGAGCAGTTTATGTAGACTAATCCAAAGTAAAACCTGTACAGAAGACCGTGTCCAGACTTATTTCAGCCCATCTTAAAGCAATTAAGAACAGGTTGAAGTAAGTTATGCTTTCAAGGAAATAGGTGTGTGCCAAGTTAACTAAATAAGTGTTTGTTTTAAGATAGATTTATTTGCAGCGCATGAAATGTCTTACGATCTCTTTCAGTACTGGCTTTTGCTGCTAGAAGGGAATGTTTTCTGTTTGTTTTGGGCTTAAAAGTAGTGGTCTTTCTGGTAGGACTTAATCACATCATTTTTGGGAGGGGGAGCTTTCTGTTTTGTAGTTATTCTGTATAAAGTTGGGTGGACTTTCAGTGGGTCCAGTCAAGCTGCAGGTGT